CGCTAAGGCGTACAGGAACACAGGCACACAGGAGTCTCTTTTACTACAGGCGCACAGCTGTAGATCGTACTCTGCTAGAACCTTGAGCAACAGGCATGGATACATGCAAGTGATACGTGAAACAGACAGGCACCTGGATGTGTAACATTCAGTGTTTCACCCGCCCCCCACGCCTGGCCTGGCCGCCGCAGAAGCCTTCTCCTGCAAGATTCAAGTTCATGCGACCCTTCACGGCCTTGTGCCTTCACCCCCCCAACACCTCTCAACGTGGTAAGTCCCACCCCCGACTTTTCGTGGCTCTTCACGGACCCTTGTTCCGGCTGGCAGCCTGCCTGCTCAGCAGCAGCCAGGCGTTCTGAGAGAAGTCGGTGCTCCTACACGGGACATGCAAGTCTCACGGACGGCTGTCAAATCTGAGCATGTCGGGTTCTGGAATGAAGCCTTGCCTCCCATGCTTGAAACACTTGCACAGCGACCAACCAAAATTACCACGACTCAACGCCCTCAACAGATGCAACACGCGCTCCGAAGAGAACCTGGGAACAGCGAACACGTGAATTTGGAGGCGCCGGGACACAAACCGCACCGATACATTCGGCACATTGAAGCAGAGGAAACACTGTAAAGACCGATGGAATAGGCATGTTGATTTTGCGCTCTTACATGGGCAACAATAGCAGCAGCAACAACAAGAAGACTAATCACAACAATAACAAGAACGACACCGACACCACCAGCAAAAGCTAGACTTAGAGCAACAGCAGTAACAACAGCCTCGACCACCAACCAACACAATCAAACACAAAGATGCCGCCGGTGTTTCAGGGACCTCCTCCATAGAAGATACTGTCAACGGTTTAGTCGAGGAGAATAACAGCGGCAGCAGTCGCAGCATCGCAGCAAGGAAACAGCAGGAACGAGAACAAAAAGAACAGCAGCATCGCAAAGACACAGCACACTCAGCACACACCGAAGAAAGAGCTTAAGCGCGTTGAACAAAGCGAGTCTTCACTTCAGTCCTCGAGGGTCTCAGAGCGGAGCCGCGCGTTCTCGGCGCGTAGCGACAGGAGCTCGGCCCGTGCCGCTTGGGCTCCGCTCTGCGCGGTGTCCACCTGAGCGGCGCCCGGCGCCGCGCGGACGGCGGGAGCCGCCGAGGCCCTGCCTGCCTGGGCGGCGAAGCCATCGTATCATAGCCTCCTTTCAAAGAAAGAGGGAAGGCGCCTCCTCCTGGAGCTCCTTGGACTTGGACCTCGAGCGAACGATCACCGGCCGGTGCGCTGAGATGGGCCTGCAGCAGCGCCAGATATGTAGAGCGCCAGTAGCGCAAGGCGTCGCTGATAAGGACTCAAAGCGCACAGTCGGCGCCTCTTCCGCGCTTCCGAGGCCTCCTGCCTCGGAAATTATATGGGGGGGGACGGGACGGGCGCGACTCTTTTTGCACTCTAAGCAGACAGGGCCCGGGGCTGCGCGGGCTGCACGGGCTGTGCGACGGGGCTGGGCTCCCTGGTGGCGGTTTCCAGGACCTCCGAAACTCGCCCTCACTCCGCTCCCGGTCGCCTCCGCGGTCGCCTCTGCCCCTCTGCCCCTCTGCCCTTGCCCCTTGCCTTGGCAACTGACCGCGTGGGCGAGGCTCCGAGCACCTCCGGCCCCGGACGCGGAGACCGCGGAGACGCGCTGCGCGACGCGGAGCTGCGACGCTGCCCGGTGGCCACCTGGCTGACTCGCGCCTGAAGCAGAGCGTGACCGAGCACTGTGAAAAGTTCACCGTTAACCATCCTTTCCGCGCACGGCCTCGGCAGCGCGCTCGGCAGCGCGCTCGCCGCTGCTGCTCGCGCTGACCACGCGCCCGGCCTCGTTGCGGTCGCTTCGCTGCGGTGCAGACTCCCCACGTCCCGGGACGGGCAGACTGGGCAGACTCCCCCCTGCGCCCTGCGCATACGGCTTCCCCCGCCTTGGCTCTCGGCGGCGACGCCTCGGCCTGAGCCCAGGCCTGCGAAAGCCCAGATTCGTTTAGACTGTCCATCTAGACTCCGACTCCGGCTACGATCTGTGCCGAGATTTCTGGGAGCAGGGAAAGCCACGACTCTTCACACACTCTGCGGCCCGTGACGAGGCCTGGGTGTTCGGCTCGCTTTTCTTGACGACGCCGGTGACGCGAACCCGCGCGGGAGCCGGGCGGGCCTCCGCCATGGCGCCTCGGGCCTTCGGGCCTCTGCCGAGTCGAAAGAGAAGCTCTGACTCTCCGAAACCGAAAATACCCTCCGATGCTGCGAGTAGGATGAGTCTCAGTACCATGTACGGATATGTACGGGTGCGGCGGTTGCCTCTCCCTCTGCTCTCTTCAACCCATTGCCATGGTCTTGAGTCTTGAGCGCCGCGGAGCAGGATTTCCAGCAGAAAATCGACTCTGGACCTGATGGAATCCGAGAAGGACGCTTCTTTTCTCTCTGCCGCCACGTCCCGTGGCGTGTCTCCTCAGAACATTCGTGATTTGAGTGGCGAGACCCTCGCGAGGGTCCGTCGGCACTCAAGATGAGACTATTGGCAGTTTGCGGTATTGGGGGTCATCTTTGCCAGGCCTCGTCTATAGAGTATAGTATAGAAGGGTCTGAGACCAAACTATAATAGGATGTGTAGACTCGCAGACTCGAGAAGTGCCAAGTGCGAGAAAGAAGGATTTCCCCCCGCAGGCGAGGTTTGGCCTGGACTCCTGATGTCTGGACCCGCTTTCGTCACCACGTATTATGGCGGACAGCGTAGAAAGATTGAATCGAAGAGCAGGACGCTCGTGTGAGAAAAGGGAGGGACTAAAGCTCGAAGAGCAGGTTCCCCGCTCGGAGGTCCGTCGGAATCTCCCCCTGACCAACGGGCACGGAGCTTGCAGCAGGCGCCGGCTCCCTTGGCTCCCCGCCTCCAGGAGATCCCCACAAACTTGCTCCACGGACCTCAGCGGAGCGGCGGAGCGGCGCGGCCTTCGGGGGCTCTTTTTGCGGAGCGGCTGGAAGCCCACGACCGTGTAAGGCCACTCATCGGCCTCGGCGCAGGCATTGGCTCCCGCTTAGCCGCTTCGTCTTCACTTCAACAACGGACCAATCCCCGCGATGTCTGCAGCGATGCAGCGACAGAGCCGGTCCCGGGTCTCCCCCGGGTCTCCCGACCTCCGTGACCTGGAACTCGGAGTCCTCCATCTCCGCCTGTGCGACAACACAGTCACACCGACTCCTGCCTCTGCCTCGGCCTCTCTGACTCCGTTTTGAATTCAAAACAGAGCAGCAGCGTCGCATGCGACCGCATGCGGAGTCGCCTGCTGCGGAAGGGAGGTCTTCGACTTCATGAGAACATTCGCCTCGGAGCGACGACAGCACACAAGGGGGCCTCGTCGGGGGGGCAGTTTTCGGGGGCGCGGCCGCGGAAGCGCTGGCGGAAGCGGCGCTCTGCTGTCGCTTCGAGGGCCTCAGGGACCTAAGCTCCTCCCGGCAGTGGGCGAAGGTGCACTCCTCACCCAACCTCAGCATGCGAGCATGCGAGAGTCTGTATGCTCACTAGCTGCCACAAGCTGCCTAGCTGTCAGAGCAAGCTGTCTAGAGTCTAGAGATTCTGCCCGTCTGCTTGAGATGCAGAAAGACAAAGAAGAGGTGTCGGCAAGCTGACTGCGGCCCAAAGAGCGGACAGTCCCCGGTCTGAAACTTCTTGCAAATCCTGGGAGGCGCGGAGCGGAGGCGCGAATTCGTGCTTCGGCGGCGCGAATCCGTGTCGCTGTCTCTTCGCTCTCTGTCTCTCTTCCGGCCAGGAGCTTTGTCTTTGACAAGTCGGGGCTCTCCCGCAGCTGCGCCTGCGGCACCGCGGTGGAGCGCGGCCACTAACGGACTCCGACGGAGCGCGGAGCGCGGCGAAAGGCGAAAGGCGAAGCCGCAGGCCTCGCCGTGCGCAAAGGCACAGCTGGAGCCGCGCTTGCAGGCGCCGCGCACCCAAAAGCTGCAGAGCCTCGGAGCCGAGCGCAGTGGGAGCGGTCAGGAGCCGGAGGCGGTCAGTGGTCCAGCCTTTTTTAAAGCGGGTTATAGGAGTTAGGGTTTATAGTCAGTGGTCCGGTCCGCTGCACTCGGGCCGAGCTCCCCGCTGCGTCCGTTTGAAGACCCGCTTGGGGCCGTTACAGCCGGAGGACCCCTTCTCAGCGCCATCTCTCCCGGGGTGCAGAAGGCTCATCAACTCGCCTCGCTTCGCACTCGGAGCACGAGTAGCACCGCTGCGATCTACGGGAGATCTGCATCGCGCCTCCGCTGGCTGCGGCCTTTCCCCGCCTTCGCTGTCCTCTGCCCTCGCGCTGAGGCCCGCTGTCCGGCGGCGCGGGCCGCGACTGCGGGCGCCCCACTGCGGGCTGCGGGCATTGGAGCGACGAACTCCCGCCGCCCGCCCGCAGAGAGGTAAATCGCGCTAAGCAGAGCAGAGACTCAGCGACTGTAGCTAACTCTTTCTTTCATCATGCTAGCTACAGCATTGTGCATTGCAACATCTTGCTGGCTGAAAAGGCTGAACATGTCTAGTCTAGTCTAATTTGTGCGCCGCCTCTCTCGAATTGTGCGGGCCAACATGCAAGACCCGTCACCAAGTTCAAGAGTGATTATAGACGTCTTTACGTCTTTCATGCCAGACCCTCGCCGACTTTCTTTCAGCGCCTAGTTCGAGTCTCGGACTTTCAGTGCTCGGCCTCCATCAGGAGGCAAACAAAGTGCTCTGCAAGGTCACTTCGTGACGAGGCTAAGAGACACCCATGGTGGCGAAACTTCGGCTACCCTGCGGCAGATTTCACCTCATGCTGATGGCAGCACGGACACAGCCTGCATCAGGCAGAAAAAGAGGGAGAGAGAACGGGCATTTGTATAGACGGTTTACCCCCCGAAGATATACCCCCCCCTGTTCGAGTCAGCAAATATAATCGGCATCGTGCCTTTCTTTGTATGCATACAAACCGTGCTGCTCTATGTAGCGGGTTTGACGTAAGCATAGTGCCGAATGTGTGGCAACTTTGTCGATGTGTTAATAAGACACCCCGTGTATTTTGCGTTGTATTGCATCTTAGCGTAGTGTTGAATAGCACCCTCTTTAGAAGACACATCTCTTTCCCTTTGCGCGTGAAGTGTGAAGAAGGTTCCTCGAAAGCAAGCAGTAAGAGAGCTCCTTCAACCTTCCAACATGACGCAAGATACACAGGATGGGTCCTTTTTTCTATTCATCAGTCAAGAGTTACGAGCTGTTTCTCCTTGTAAGATGACACCTTTAGACCTTGAAGACTGAAGAAACCTCCTCTCTATCCTGTGCCGCGAGCTATGACAGTTCTGCAAAATACAACCCTGGACATAGCGTCACAAGGCAGCATCAATAAGAGTAAATGAAAACTGCGGTTTTATAGGAAGGAGCCTCGGGCGGCTCCATTGTCCTACACGATGGCAACATGCACAAGAGCCCCTGCAGTCTTCAATATGAAATAGAATGTGCATAAACTTATAAAGCTAAGATGGGCCCTCCTCTTGCCTGTGAAGCCAGAATAACGAAAAACCTTGTTGGCTCAGGAAAGCACAAGGGTGCAAATTTAGTTCCTTGAAGACTCAAATTCGAGCTCCTTGTATCTTGTGATGCCAACTATGAGATGGGCAGATGAAGCAGTCTTCTGTTCAGGATATGAGGGAGGTAGCTGCAATAATACGGAAGCCATATAGTACAACATACCGGTAAACAAAGCTTTCCTTGCCTGTTGATAAGATCTAAGGAGTATTCCCCTTGAAGGTAGAAGAAAGCTCCTCTTTTTCCCATGACACGAGCTGTGACAGATATTCAAAAGTCAGTACAAAGACAGCATCAATAAGAGTAAATGGGAAAGAAGATAGGAAGGCCTCATTGTCCCATAATGATAGCAAGATGTAGATCACAAGCTCTCAGGCTGCCGATTGTGAACCAAAACCATAAACCTTGGACATGACAAAAGTTCCTACGGAACAAGACGAAGATGGGCCCTCTTCATACTTACTTATCAAGCAAAAAGGATGGCACCTCGCTTCCTTGAAGACTGCCTTTATATTGTGATACAGTGTTTCGTACCCTGAATCTCCCAAAACAGTGTAGTGCTCGAGAACTCCGCGCCGACTCCAAAAACTCCGGCATCTGCAGCCAGGCGCAGAAACGTAGGGAACTCTTGCAACTTTCTGAGCATTAGTGTTCTGGGAGGTTCAAGACACGAAAGCTGTCATGCTCAAAAACTCCCACATTTCTAACCTAATGCTCAAGCACTTCCATAATTCTTGCATCTATGGCTGGACAGGGGGCACAGCCCTCCAAACTTTTGTAATTTTTTCATGTTGCATAAACTCACGAAACACTGCCATGCTCAACAAATTCCAGAAATTTGGAGAAATTTGTCCTCCGCCTGGCCATAGATGCCTCGGTTTGTGAATTTTCGGACTTCCCGAGCATTGTGGCGTTTCGGGAGTCTCAGGGTTGATAATTGGACTTCTGAAATTGCTGAGCATTACAGTGCTTCGTGTCTTGACCTCACACAACACTGTCATGCTCAAAAGCGCCCCCATCATCACTATTTCTGCAAATTTGCTTCCAGCCTAGCCATAGATGCCAGACTGTTGGAATTGATGGAATTGTTGACCAGTGTTTGGTGCACCCACGTCCTCATGAACCACCGCTGAGGTAGATCTTGGGTGGAAGGGGCGAATATACGATACAAAAATAAACAGATAATCTAAATACATATACGTAAACAAGTAACGATCTATCTGTATATATATGTATATACATACAGACATCGATTTTATGTTCTTCTGGATTCTGAATGCAATGCATCGAATGCAACGGGAAAAATGCTTATAGATGCCCGTGTCATAAGAGCACACGCGCCAGGCAGGCTCACGCTGCAGGGCCTGCTGTAGATTCTTGAGCGTTTCCTCGAAGGTCACCTGGGCGTCTCAAAAGCGATGCAATGCCACATGCCCCCGTCCATCGGGCTCAGGTCCAGTGGCGGGGACGGGTGTGTCGTTGATGTGCGTGACGCACCAACCGATCTTCACCTGCAAATATGTGGGCTGCGGCGGTTGCCGGTGCTGCCACACCCGCACCTCTTTCTGTTCGCCCTGCATGCCCGGCTTCAAGCGCTTGCACGTGAGGGGCAAACTTCGGCTGAAGTCGATCCCCAGAGGCCTTGGCAACACACAACAGAAAATGGGAGATTTTGGCTCTCCAGAGCAGGCCCAAAGGGCCTAAAGCCTAGCAGTGCCTAGCCTAGCGGCCCCTTCTCTCCTTGCGTTCCGCGTCGCTTGTTCTCGAACTCGATGTCCTGCGTTCCACCATCTGGCAGCACGAATCGCAGCACCTCAAGGTGAACTATGGTCCTTGCTTCAACAGGGAAGGTGACTCAATTGTGATTTCTGTTTTGTGTGAGACGTCTCGGCAGTGCTTGAAATCACTTGTGACTTCTCCGGCCTGCTCTCGGGCTTCGGTTTCTACGTTCCAGGAGGGGCGAAATGTGGCTCAGGGTTCAGGCTCTATGACATCTTGTGGGATGAAGGGTTAAATCCTTTAGGGGGCAAGCTTCGTGGGATCCATCTTCACGGGGATGTGGGTTCAGGGTTTCGGGGCTTTGGGGCGTTTTCCGGGAAATAATTGCATGAATATCTTGATTGAAAACTTTCGGGAGGACTGTGAGAACTACCCGCACCAGTTCAGGTCCCACGCACCAGAGCTACTTTTTTCCCGTGAAGTATAACACGATTCTAGAGCAAGCAAAACATGGGCTTGCGGCTTGCCGGTACTGCGTACAGTCACGGAACTTTGGGACACCTTCGAATTCACATTGGCGTCCCCAGTTGTAAGAGTTCGCTCTTCTACACAGCCCTTAAGGAGAGCAGGCGGACTCAGAGTCCTCTCTGTCTCTCTCTCTCTCTCTAAGTTGCGCTGGGGAGTGCACCACCCTCTTGGGCTCAGGGTCGGTCGTGGCCGCTTTCAGCTGCGAAGACTTGGGCTCCTGACCGGCAGCGCCAAAAGCACAACGCAAGAAGCACAACGGAGCAGAGAAACTCTCTTCCACGCAGTCAAGAGCACGGCAAGCACCGCACTCTGCGCTGGTCGTGCGCGCACTGGTTGTTCGCGATGATGGCCGAGGGTCGCGAGCAGAAAACCAACTGGACTAACATTTAACCCCCCGGCCTCATCAGGTGCATACCGGCTCTGGTCCCCCTCACACCGTTTGTTGTTTATGAACAACTCGTTTGAGGGACTGGGTGACCTCCGTGCAAGCAGGCAGACGAAGTTAGCAACAATCACACAACACATGCACACATCACGTAGCTACAACTGGAGGTCCCCCTGTGCTTCTCCTGTGTTCAGAGAGGGAGTATGTTGAGCAGCCCTTCTTCCAGCCATGGGGGGACTATGTGGGAGAGAATGAAGAAGATGCGGCCGAAGCTGCGGAAGCCCTGAGAGCTGTGAGAGCCACCGTAGACGCAGACTGCATGCGACCATGAGGGCATAGTATTGTTTTTGACTTTAGACCGTGGGAGCATGTTGTTGAGTCTGGGAGACATGTTTCAGCTTGAGACCATGGCACATGCAATATCTTTTCTTTGGCCGGGACCTCAGCTGCAGTGCGGTATGCTTCAAATGTTGTATCTCTTTAACATGTTGCCTTCATTGATGTTAGCTGTCATGGGGGATCCGAGCCACAACATGTTTCAGAGAATCTCTCTCTCTCTCTCTCTCACGTTCTCTCGCGCTGGAGCCGACGTCCTCGGGTGTGGGCTCCAGCGGCGCTGCGGCTACCGCCACCTCCGGCTTCTCCGTGGACTCAGTCCGGACCGGGGTGGGCACACACGTGTTCGCGTGCGACTCGTGCGTCGCCCGTCGTGCCCGTGTTGCCGGGGCCCCGGGCGGTGCTGGAGGCACAGCAGGCCCCTGCGTTTCCCATGCCCCTTTCAGCACGAAGGCTCCTCTGGCTCTCACTCAGAGACGGCCGAGACGGCCGAGACGGCTGCGGCGGCCTCGCATTCCTCCAGCTGGCAGAGTCCTGAATTCTGCCTTGCTCAGTTGCAGCCCCTTTTCTCTGTCTCCGCCTTTGGGAGCGCTCGTGTTCTCGGCCGCCTTCGGCGGCTCCGGTCCGGGACGCCGCTCCGAGCGCAGCGGCCGGTCTTCGGCGCAGCTTCCCGAACGGCTCTGTACAGTCCCATCGAATCTGAGCTACACAGCTACACTTCGCGAGAGTCAGAGTAGGCGCCGCTAGAGTCCGATGCACACTCACCGCTCTCGCTCGTCGCGGAAGGCCGAGCTGGTGGCTCCGCTTCCGCGCGCGCTGCGCGGCGCCGGCGGCTTTGGCTGAACTCAGCTTTTCTATAAGTCTCTCAGGCGCTGGGACAGCCGGCCGCTCCGCTCCGCGTCGCTCCGCATTGGGGTCCGGACGGAGGGCAAAGGAGAGCGGGTCCCTGGTGGTGAACTTTGGCGGCGGCATGGGGACCAGCACGCGTGGCCTCGGCGCGGCGCCGGCCCAGGACCAATGAACTCCCGAGATGAGACTTCTATAGGTCCTAGGTCCTATAGGTCTCAGGTCAAAGCAACGTGGGCTGCAGCTTGGGAGACAGGGGTCGCTCTTCCGGCAAGTCCTGACAGCATTCAACAGCATGGCCTGGGCAGAGAAAGCTCCAACCTGCGCCTGCGCCTGCGCCTGCGTTCGCCGTGAGCTGGGCAAGGAGGGCTTGCGAACCTCAAGCGATTCATGACACTGGTAGGCTAAAACAGGGGCCTTACAGGGAGTAGTCTGAGGCCCAGGCAAATTCGGGCGTGTAGTGGTTCAAGCGAGGTTGCGTGTAGTACCTGGGCTGGGCCGAGGGCCGGGGCCGCGGGGGCGGGGGCCGCGGCGTTCGACGTGTTTCCAAGGGACGGGTCGAGGTCCAGGGTGACGGCCGCCGGGACGCCTGCCGAACGGAGCGGAGCGTCGCTGTCAGAGCCGGGAGCCCAACACAAGCACAAGCCGCAGAGCAAGCCGCAGCAGCGGCAGAGCGGCCTTCCACGACGGGAATGGAGGCCCTCGAGGCCGGGGGGGCGGGGGCGGGGGAAGGAGTCTGCTGCCCGCTGAGACGCACCGAGAGCCTGCAGAGCACGCGGAGACGGCCCGGGGCCGTCGGCTCTTCTCTCTTCTCTTCGTCTGAGGCTCCAACTCCGCCGTCAGCTTGCTGCCCTTCAGCCCTGCACTCCACGGCTTCCGCCATAACCGCACCCGCACCCACGTGCACCGCACCTGTGGTGGCGAAGGCGGCGAAAAGCCGAGCGCTGTTGCCTCGGAGGCGGATAGAGACTCAGAGCGGAGGGAGCGGAGCGGTGGAGGAGGCCCTGCTCGGTGCCCTCGCTGTCGCCAGCGACCCCGAAGCGTGACCAGCGCGCCTCGAAATTCGGAGTCAAAACAGTCAGATCTCATATACTCACAAAACACAGGTTGCACCCATGAACTGAGGGCCAAGGGAGCGAGGCTGGAATTCAAAAGGTCCAGGACAGGACATCGAGAATCTCCGAAGACTTTGCAAGATCGACAGGGTAAACAAACCAAGTGCACATCTGATTCGCAGCGGTTCTACATATGGAAAAGATAGCTTGAAGACGGTGCATATACTTGCATGTTCTTCAATTGTGCTGTACATGACGAAGCATGTGCTTTCCGCTCATGTGGATGCCTAGGCTAAGGGCTCAAACTTCAGCAACAAGTTCGACGCAGGCGGTGTGCTTGGTATTGGCAATTGCAACATGGAGTCTCTGGAAAGGCAAGGGGCCGCATGAGCCTGCGGGGCTGTGGCAACCAGACACTCTCTCTATTGAACTCTTTTAAGGGCAGGGCCGGCAGGGCGGAGTGTCCGGGCAGTGACTGGGCTTCTGGCAGTGAGGCTCGCGGAGTAGGCGCTCAGAGGCCGGAGGTTGGCGACGAGGCACCGCGTCTCCGACAGCGACTGCGAGGAGAGGAGAAGGGAGGGCGCCGAGCCCGAGCCCGGGCCCGAGCCCTCGCCCGGCGCCCCGCCCTCGCCCTCGGCGAAGACGCTCAAGGTGTACCTCGCCCAGCATGGCGCATGGCGATGGGACCCCATGCACCGCATGGCGCTCGGAGATGGGTGGGCACTCGATGGGCAGCCGGGCAAGGTTGGGGAGCTGAGCCTGCGAAAGCTTCAAAAACCGCGGCTTCGGCTTCAACCCGTCTCTCGTCTCGTGCCTGGGAGGCGGCGTCGGGCTGGAAGGGTGCCCAGCTCACTTCCGCCCGATCTCCCTGACAGACAGCGATGCTGCACGCAGCGGATCGCGGCGGCACACTCGCCTTCTCCAGAATTCGCAAGCCTCCGCCTCCGCGGTTTTTGTATGCGGACACTGGGGATAGCAGTGCGCAAGCGGCCGCAATTGTCTGTGAGTCACAGCGTGTGTCCTTCGCTTGGGACGGGCGGAGACAAAGCGAAGCGGACCGGAGGAGAGGACTTGGACCTCAGTGTGCCCCAAACTTCACCTCCGGACTACACAGATACACAAAACTAGAGCGCCCTCGCATTAAGAAACTCTGATTCTTTCGTGCTGAATGCGTAGCGAGCCTGCTTTTGGGGCTACAGTAGCGGGGGCGGTCTCCTAGTGGCTAAGCAAAGGGCCAAGGTCCCATGCGGCATTGGTCGCCGACGCGGACTTGGAACTCGTAGACGTTGCCCAGCTCCAGCCTAAGAGGAAGGCACCAGAGAGGCAGCGGCCGCAGCTCGCGCGGAGGTCTCCGGGTCCCAAGGCCCGTCTTCCTCGCGGACCACCTTCGGGCCCTGAGCTTCAAAAAGGCGAGCAAAAAGGCCCTCGCAGGGCGACCCAGGCCTCCTGAAAGGTCGCCTCCGCGGGCAGCTCCTCCAGCAAGCTACTAGTACGCCAGTACGCGGTGCGCCTTCGACATGTACTTTCGATATCTTTCGATAGACAACTCATGAAAGGTCCGATTATGACGGACGAGCATCATCCTTACACAACGATTCATTCACGCATTCACTCGCCCCTGCAAGCACATGCGCATCCGAATGAATATCACCCATCGGTCCAGCCGTGCCTTTGCTAGTAGCTTATATTCACCCACCCACCCGCTCATTCAGCAGGCCATCCATGAATTATAAACGCTCGTTCAGTTAGGAATTCGTCCATCTATCTGCCTGACTACAAACGCGATCCAGCCATCCAGCCACCCAGCCACCCCCACTGCACCGCACCCCACCCCGCACACCGCACCGCAAACTCGGAAGATCCCTGCATGATGCATGCCAAAAATGCCTTCCCCGAAGTACTGGCGGATTCTGGCACGAGCCATGTACCACATGCACGGAGAGGGTTCACATTCGCGATAAGTTTAAAGAATGCAACGGATCGCGGGCAGTGTGCAAGCCCTGTGCTGGTGGATCGCGCCTGCCGGAGAACGCAAATCGAAGTGGCACGACACATGCAGCGTTGCCGGCAGCGCGTGAACAACACCGAAAGCCCCTATGCAATGTCCGGGGCACGTCCAGACACCTTTTCCCCGCCAAGCACTGGCTCCACTTCGCACGCCGACGGCGCCGCCGAAAGGCTGCAAATTCGAGAAGGTCTGCCCCATGAAAGAGCACATGTGTTGTGCAATAGATCGATGGATCGCACTCCGAAAACGAACACAAGAACGGCACACATGAAAACCAAGCGCCGCGGTGTTGGAATTTACATAAGAGGGCGTGCTGATCGGGCCGACATGCTGATCACATTGACGCACCGACCCCCCACCATTCTCGGGACTCACAAGGCGCGTTGTCATTTGCAATCGCGCCGGCCCGAAACGAAGCGCAGCGACGCGAGCGTGTGCTGCAACGAGATGACAATGAGGCACTTGAGATTGTGATCGGTACGTGCAGCATCGGAGAAAGACTTGAGACAGGGACATCGTGACATCGTCATCCAAAGCACCTCCGACGCGTATGTCTTTATTCGAGCATAGATAGGGCATCAAGTAAGAAATATCCGCTGCTCAATGCTGGGCTCTGGCGACAGGGCGCGTCCTCCCAGCAGGCGGCTTCTCCCACGCAGCCTCTGCTCAGGGGCGGAGGGTCCGTGGGTGCTCGGTTCTCGGCTCCGGGCCGATCCGCCGGAATCGGAGCTGCAGCAAGCCCGCCAGCCTCGCAATGGCGGCCCGGCGGCCCCCCCCCCCGACTTCCCCGTACGTGTTTTTCTGTCTGGGCCCTGCATGGACCTGGCCGTCCAGCGCGTCGAGCCGCTGGCTCCTCGCCGTGAGGCGCTGTGCACCGCGCTCTGCACGCCGCGAAGGCTGTATATAGCCATGTATACAGCATGCTGCTACGCCGCTACAGCTCTCTTCGATTCGATTCGGCCGCGGTCTCCGCGTCTAGACGCCTACGCGGCGTACGCGCCTGCGAAGGAAATCTGCAGCAGGATCCCCAAGGACCTCCGGCGGCTTTCAAAGCCATGCTCTTGAGCTGAAACTCACATTCGGAGGGGGGGCGCGCCCGGCCTGGGAATGGAGCCGGCGCTCCGTGGCAACGCGAGCATCTCCGCTTTGCAGGGCTCCAGCTGCTCGTACAAACAAACGATGGGCCTCGGACACGAACGCCTCTCCGATTGCCTTCCGCAGCCGGCGGCAGCTGGGATGCTGGGAGTCTGGGGCTCCCCTCTGCGTGCAAGGCCCCGCTTGCATCCTCGAGGGATCGAAGAGCCGAAACCTCGAAATTCGGGGGGGAAAATGAGACTGAGACGCAGGGTTTCGGCCTCGCTGGGCGGGGCCCCCGGCCAGCCGGCACGGAAAGGGAGATCTCGCACAGCCACGCAGGCCGAGGCCGAGGAAACGCCCTTCGAGGCCACCAAGGCGAACCTCGGAACCCGACAGGCACCGCGCATCGCCGCGCGACGTCGACGCGTCTTCTCTCTTTCGCATCGCCCCCCTACTGCCCTACTCGCGAGCGCGCATGCGCCGCATGCGGCACGTGCTCCTTTTTTGGGTCCCCGGGGCGGCTTGGTGACCACAGGACAGTGGAACCACTGTCGGGAGCGCCTTTCACCTCAGTGGAAGCCCAGCGGCTGGCACCGCGACGGAGCTCGTAAGCAGACGGCCTGCAGCTTCCGCTTCCTCCGCTGCCTCCGCTTCCGCTGCGTCCTCTGCATCTGCTGCCGCTGCCTGAACCTTCAGAATCCGTCCAGAAATGTCTGCACAGGCTGTTGCGAGCACGCTGCACGCTGCACCTCGAAAGGTGGGTTCAGGCTTTCGCCCGTGGAGACAAGGCCTCAGAGCAAAGACGCCGCCACTGTCAGCGTCGGCCACAGGCTCCACAGGCTCCACAGGGCTCCTGGCTTGCCTGCCGCGGGTTGGCTGCTTCTGGAAGAAGCCCGTCCCAGGTCAGCAGCACCTCGACAGTACCGCGTCTTCCCCTAACCGCCGAGCCGCGGCTGAGCCGCGGGGCGAGGGGGCGATCGTCTTGTAGCCACCGCTGCATCGTCTCCTGCAGGCGCTTTCGGTTCTCGGCCTCAGCCCTCCGCTTTTCACATCCGAAATCCCGAAATCCGAACATCTCCCTGGCCTGGCTCTCTTCCGAACAGGGAACCTCCGCGCAGAATGCGCGCAATGCTGGCCATGCGTCGTAGACCATGGATCCAACATGAAATAAAAGGCATCGCTCTACGGGCAAGCTGCAGCAGGCACCTGCACAGGGAGCGGCAGTGCCACAGCCGCCTGTGCCAGCACGTGCCAAAGCAAATGTGCCACAAGAACGGCCACCGATTCAAGCAAGAAGAAGTCGCGGGATGGCAGCTCACCGAAGCCGCAGACATCCCGATCCTGCGGAAGAACCTCCTGCACCCTGGAGCTGCGTGGCCGCGCGCCGCGCGCGCCGCGCGTCGAAGACGGGGGAGGGCTTTCTCGACCAAGGTCAGCCAGCTCAGCTCCAGAGCAGCTCATCAGCTCACTTTCGTTCTTCTTAAATGGAACGTTTCGTCCTGCCTGCACTAAAAGCCTGCACGTGCAGTTGTCTGAGCCGTCTTCTTTGACGGTTACTGCTGTGGGCGGCTCGAGCTGGAGCTCTCGGGCTCGCCTCTGGAGTGCCCCTCGAGATCTTCCCAACCTGGCAGCGGGCGCGGCGCGGCGAGCTCCGCTTTCTGGGGCGCGGCGCGGCGCGCGCGGCGCCCCAGCGCCGGGCGGCCTCGTAGATCTTGTGGAAGATGCGGGGCCCCACGGTAGGATAGCGAGCAAAGACCTGCGGGGGGAAACGCCCAAGCACCCGCAACCGCCGGGCCCGCCGGGCCCTCTTCCCCGCCTGGAAGGCGTAGCGGAGCTCGGGGCAGAGCTCGGCCAACCTCAGCGCATGAAAGGCCGTGGGCCAAAGGCGCCGTGCCTTAAGAACCCGTTCAAGGACTCTGCTCCAGCACGACGGGCGCACCGTCTTCTCCCTCTCCTGCGAGTTCCGAGCCCCGAAGATGCTTTGATTCGAGGCCTCGGAAGGCGTCAAGGCGTCCAGGTCCTTCGCGGCGAGATCTCAGCGTCGCCTGGAAAGCTCTGCACGACAAGACAACAAGACAAACGAATGCGCCCCAAACATGCGCCCGAGCTGTAAGGCTGCGAGTCTACACAATAGTTATACCAGGGGTGCCGTGCGGCACCTGGCCAGCGACCAGGTAAGCCATGGAGGGGGCGCCAGCGCTGTTCTTGGAATCCTCGCAATAAGAAAGGCACTGCAGCTTCGCCGCCCAGCTCGCGCGCTTGGGCCCCGGCGGTGCTTGGAGGGTATGCCGCTCCCGCCCCGGCTGAGGTTTTGTCGGTTCCCGCTCCCTCTTTGCGGCCTTTCTTCCGCCCGCCGGGCCCGCGCGGCGACATGGGCGGTGCCTTCAGGCGGACGGTTTTCCTTCGGCCACATGCAGCTTGCCGAGCTCTCTGACCTCCGATGCTGCAGGAGCCACGACCAGGGCGCCTTCGAGCATTCAACAGTTGAAGGCAGGAGAATGCCTGAAGAGACCACCAACATGGCCATGATGGATGCAGCTGAGAGCGAGAGCCTACGAAGGGCAGCAAGTGGGCGCTGTCCGGGATCACAAGCAACTGGTACTCCACCTCTTGGATGCCCGCCTCGCAGAGCGCGGGCGAAGGCAGCAGCTCGGCGCTATAGTACGCTATAGTACGCTTGGTGCAGCGAAGTAGCGTGGGCAATTGCAAGTGGCCACTCGACACGGCAGACCTCTCAAGTCACATCGCCCCACTTTGTGAGTGCCCGTCAGGTGACGCCGTTGTGACGCAACGGCCCTCCCGAGTCGTCTCGGCACAGCGCTTTCTTCCAGGACGCCAGAGCTTCGGCTCCCTGCGAGTCGTCTGGGCTCAGATGGAGGCTCTGGCTTCGCTCTGCAAACGGCTCGCACTCTCAAGGCACGGGCCTCCGGGGCACGGGGCTTCTCAAGAAGGACGGGCACTTCTTTGCAGGCCTTCCAAGGGGACCACCTGAGCACAAAGGGTCTTTGAGCTCTGATTTTTTGCTCGCCTTCTCTACGGGCGCCTGAAACCGTCCCCGACTCGAACGGAGGCCTGCAACTCACAGCGTCTTGGGAATAAGAAAAACTACGTGCGGCCGGTGCCTGCACCAGCTCGCAACTGGAAGCCTTGCGAAAACTGCTTTGGGTTGCGGCTGTCGTTGTTGTTGTCGTTGCTGTTGTTACTGTTGCTGGCGCTGGTGTTGTTGCTGCTGCCGTTGTGGTGGTTGTTGCTGTTGGCGGATTCTGCCGCTGCTGCTGCTGCTGTTGTTGCTGTTTGGGCAGTTGTTGCTTGTTCTTGCTGTTGTTGGTGTTGATGTAGCAGTAGTAGTCGTGGTAGTAGCAGGAAGTAGCATTACTAGTCGTCGTCGTCATCGTCCTCGTCATCGTAGTAGCAGTAGTAGCAGTAGTAGCAGTAGTCGCTGTAGTAGTAGTAGTGGTAGTAGTAGTAGTAGTAGTTGTTGTTGTTGTTGGCAGGTGGCGCGTATGCCGCCGCGAAGGGTGGAGCGATTTCATAGCTGCAATGCCAAAACTCGAGTTTTGGCACATTGCAGTTTGGACAAAACAACTGCGATGTGCCTCTCGTATTGCCGTTAACAGTGTTCTACTGGAACAAACAAAACCGATGATTTTGCACATTTACATGCCTCTCGTATCGGTATTTGCAGTGATCCATGCCTTCTTCGTTTCCGTGTTTTCTTGCAAGTCGGCTGCTTTCTGCTTTGGATTTGATGTGTCTGTGTTTCTTTTTGCGGCTTACATGCAGTTTTTGCTGTTGCTTCCGTGCAGGGGTGGGAAGAGGGTATGCGCAGTTCTCATAGTTTGGAATTTGCCAAACCTTCTTAGTCTTGCCGCCGCCGCGTCAATTTGATGACACTGAGAGGACGAAGTTCTAGATGCCGTGATGTTTGCTGTGCCGATGATGACGATGAAATGCTAAAGGTGCTACTGGTGGATGATTTGGGGATGATGACGTTGTGGGTGATGCTGCTGCTGTGGATGGTTTTTGGCGTGAGGCCGATGTTGGTGATGATGCTGCCAATGATGCCCGTGACGACTGCTAGTTGGCTTGGAGAGGTCGGGTCGTCGTCAGCATACAAATTTCTTGCGGCCGGTGGGCTGTCCAAACACAAACTTTAAAGGCGGACCCAAAACTGAAGCAAGGCAAGCAACGAAAACCACGGTATTTACGACGCATCCGCAAACACACACTAACAACAATAACATAAACCATGAAAGCACGAGGAGCAAAAAGTCCTCAAAATCACGCAAGCCACAACAAAAATCGAGGTTTTCACACTTTTCAGAAAGCATCACCAAACAAAAACGAACGACACACCCTTCGCGGGGGCAAGCACGGCTCCTTCCCTGTCGTTGTTGTCCGGAACAGATGTCACCCACGTGGCTTGCGCTGGCTTTCGCTTTCGCTTTTTGGCTCTGTGAAGTGATACGTCTGGATACCGGCGGGGGGCCTTCTTCTGTGCGGAAAAAGATGGGTGCTGGAGGTGGGTCACGACGCCCTCACCGTCCCGCTCCGCTCTTCAAACGCGGCGCGGAGCGAGCCAAATGGGTCCCGGGCGCAATGGCAGAGGTGGATACACCGCTGATCGAGGTCGAGAATCCGATGACGCGCAGAGATTCTTCTTACCGCGAAGCTGAAATCAAGGTCGTCTTCGGCGAGATCGTTGGTGTCCTCACACCGATCCGGGAAACCCTTCAAGTCACAGATGCCGACAGATGCCTCACTCCAGTACGTCAGAGCAGCTACGAGCTGTTCGCCTTTCTTTGCCTCATGATGATGAAGGGATTGCGGATATTGTCAGGCAGCATGACAGCATGAGTACCACGATCCTCGTTCTGCCTTGACTGGGAGTCTTATTGACAGCCGGGATGATCGCAACTCTCTGGTTCGAGAGTTGGAAAATTCACGTGCGAGATTGAGACAGTCGAAAAGGAACGCAACGAGATGGTCAAGCGTTGTGACACCCTGATTCGTCAGAGAAAATGTTTGTAGACCAATGCGCTCATCTGATTCAGCGATACCGACAAGAACAGCAGCAATTCGAAGGTGCGCGTCGCAGGATTGATGAGTTGGATCATTTTCGGACTACATCTGAGTTTCAAGCTACTCATCTTGTCGAACAGTACCGAAAGAAGAATGATGAGGCTTCCGAGCTCAAGATCAGCTTAGATGGAGCAGGAGCTGCAGGAAGCCTCAGAGTATGAGCAAGTCTACAAGATCGGGAGCAAGTCTTTGTATCTGGACGGAACGAAGCGCTGCAGGATATGTATTGGTGAGGGGCACCCGACCAACGTAAGGCCGCACTCGCGCAACAGTTTGCAAAACTCGCGAGGCGATATCAGAGCGACTTGCAGTTGATACGACAAAACATTTCGCGTCAATACGATTGCTGCTTTTGTTTCGGGTGCTCGCAAAGGCCTCCCCACGGACACATGCCCAAATCCCAGGCCACCGTGTACACGGAGGGGCTTCGACAAGTATATTCAAGTGACAGATGGCCTGCTTCTTAGAATCTTGCTTCACATGTATAGGTCTGCTTGCATCATATCCTCGTAGTGCCGAGCGAGAAGACCACAAAATCCTTATAGTCTTTAATCTCATATTTGCCGAAGTGCATGTATGGAGCCGCTTGGTCGGCTGACGATCCCAACGGAAACACGCTTTGTGAAGACTGCCAAGAAAGCCAATGCAGCCACGCAAGCTGAGGCTTAGGGCCACGGTGATGCAGACCGACGGCTTGGTGTTGCCGCATACAAGCCGACAGGAACGTAGCTGGGCAGCGCCGGGAGTTAGGCAGGTAGGTGGGATGGGTGGACGAAGACCTTGAATCCTACGGCTACAACCCTAAGCGTCATGTGGAAAGCTAGTCGCTCTTTTTACAGTTGAAGCCCAATAGTTGGAAATCCATTAGCCTCAATCTGTAAGACTACTGTATACGGAATCCCTAAACGCTTGCTTCTGCTCTCTACAACTTGACCAAAACTACTTGTTGCTGTTCCTGCTGCTGCACCTAACCGTCCACACTGCACGACTGGCTGCCATCGCCTTGGCCGTTGCGACCAGGTCCGGCACAGAGACCTTGTACCTCGCGATGCGGGTTAGCAGGGTCTGGCGGGCTTGCATGCTCTTGGAGTGCAAGTGCTGGGTGCCCCGGCCATTTGGAATGAGGGCCTGAAGAGAGAGAGAGAGAGAGAGAGAGAAACGCCATATATACGGGCGGGCCGCCCCCGCGCCCTGCACCCCGCGCCTACTCCGGGCAGCTCCTTGGGCAGTGCCGCATCGGGGAAGACCTGCCGGAGCGGAGCGGAGCCGCAGAGCCGCGTTGCAGCGACCCAATACCGGGCACTTTTTGGCAGATTTCAAGCAAAAAAGCGGAGGCAGAGGCGCCCCGCTCGCGCCTCCCAGGCACTCCAAGCAGAGGGTGTTGCCGCCCAATGCCGCTTTCGCAACTGGTACCTGCAAGGATTCCTAATACATCCCCAAGGCAAGCAAGTTTCAAGCGAAAAGCCAAAAACAGCAGCGAGGAGGGGACTATCAGGGGTTGCCGTGTCAACCTCGTTTGTTGGTTTTCATCATTTTCACCTACGTTCTCTTTTCCTTCGTGTCTGCTTCGTTTTCATTCATAGGGTCTCGACTTTGGAATTATGATTATGGTTGTTGCTGGAGTGAACCAGCAGGTTGAGTGGCGGATGCAAATGGAGTGATCCGGTCCCTTGCAAAACTCAACCCTGCCATAGCTCACACAACAACCGGAGACGCGCAAGAACAAAGCAAGTCTTTGAAGTTTGTGCTACTTGGGCTTGGCACCTACGGCTCTAGTGCGTGTGTGGTGAAAAAGTCACGCTCAAAGCGTTTTGTGCCTGGGCTTAAGAGCAACAACGCAAAAAACAATGTACATGTACACATTACAAGCACAGCAAAGGTGGCATGCACTTCAGCACTCCCCCTTCGCAGCCCCGCCATGGGTTGCGACCTACTTGCTATTAGAGGTCCAACCCGTCAGGATAACGACACACCTACTACCCTGACCTACAGTACCTGGGAAAAGCTGGGCCAACTGCCCTCACTGTGCGAGGGCACTCAAGGCATCTCGTGCGAAAAAGACACAGCTACGGATGAACTGCGAGTGCGCGAGCATGGAGCAGGTCGTAGTGCGATGGAGCTTGGTCCTTTCAGGTGTTGCAAAGGAACGCGTTGGAGTTCCACCTGCCTGCTCGCGCCCGGTGCGAGTTGTTTGCTTCTGCCTGTTGTGAAGCTACTTCCGGTAGCTGAATCGGCAGTGAACCCCAAACAACCTTTGAACCTTCCCTCTGTGACTTTGAGCCTGCCAAGAGACGATGCATTTACTGAGGCCTGAAGCTGCTTGATCCGTGGAGTCCCGTGGAGGCGTCATCTCGGCAGCCGTTTATCCCGAGGCTTTGGCCACAGGCGCTCGAAGCGCTCCTCGCGCTGCACATGTACATGCGTCTCGTTAAAAGGCATCACTGCTTGTGAGAAGAGGAGCTTTGGTACGCCAAAGTTACATATCGTGGCCTCCAGTGCTTGTTGGATTTGGGCATTCAACAAAACCCACATGAAAAACCCTACTGCAGCAACCACAAAGGCCCGGACAATCTTGGCCAATCAGGATCTATCGGCTGAGGTCTTGGAAGTTCGTCAATGAGGAGACGAGATCTTCTGAAGTCATCAGAGGTCAAGCTACTCGTCTGAGGCAGTTGATGACTGGCCCAGCGTCAGCCAGGAGGTGATCCGTATTCAATCGGTCCTAGCAGCGATGATCGAGGAATTTGGACGATCCGCATGGAAACAGCGAGCCAGATGGAGGATGAGGAAAAGCCTCCGGCCTCGGAACGTCTCGATCGCCATCACTGACATCGAAGTATTGAGCACAATCGTTGCGAGATGGTGTAGTTCCACAAAGTTTCAAAGGTTTCATAAATGACGAATATATAACGAGCTATCGCTCCCATAATATAAATAATCAATCAAAAAGAATCTTTACATATAAAATCTCATATTCCTCGCAAGGTAAGACAACATGAGAACATGCAAGGCTTCTTTTCGCTCGAGGCGAACGAAGGGGAATCACAAGTGCCGGCCACCACATTCAAAGTTTTGCACCTCCCGATCTCGGATGATCGGCACACGAGGTTTGGGCGCGGTCACACCCCCTTTCTTTTGCGCCTTGCCAAGTTTGCCGAAACCATATCTCTGAGAGGCTCCGTCCAGAAGAACTCTTCAACCGCAGCAGCGCGCATAAGACTAAGAGCGCACTCACAGTCTTTGCGCGAAGGTCCGTCTGCCACGTTGCTGTACGACGGTACTCTATCCACCCAATAGAGCATCGGGTGTTTGAGGTCTGGGTGATCAAACGCCCTCACCAGATCACTCATACCTCTGCTATGGCTACCTCCCTTCAAGATCGCAAACCGTGCCGATTCATTGTCGACAAACAGGATGACCCGCCTGTTCAACAGACGCTCGGCGAGCATCCATCTGATCGTCACCATCACAAAGAGTTCAATGTGACAGATTAGCTGAGGTTCCTTGTCGGTGTCGAAGTCAGCCCTCCAAGCGTCAAGAGCCCAAGACGGAGCTTCGCCTGCAAAGACTTGTCCCGCTGAAGCAAGAGGGTCCCACACACAAGCACCGATACCAGCGACGCCACTCTCCCATGACCCGTCAGTCCAGATCAAAATGGGTTCGGGGGGGAACAAGCATGACAGAAGTCGTGGCGGGGACCCTTCAAGGATCTCACGAGTTCGTTTTGCCAGCTCTTTCAGCTTTGCGAATGCCAGAGTTCCTCTCCATTCAAGCAGTTCAAGGAGATCGTAGCACACGTGCTTCAACGAACGCCCTGCTAAAAATCCCGCAGCGAAATTCAGCAAACCATGTAAGACTTGAATCTGATGTCTCGTTATGGCTTCCGGGGCATCTACCTCCTCAAAAGCTTCCAAGATCTTCTCTGCACGGCCAGGTTTGTTGCGAAGGGTCACCAAGCCCTGGCGCACCTGAGACAAGTCCAGCGTCATGCCCAGCACATCAAACGAAGATGCACACGGCTTGCCCTTCTGGCCAGTTTTGGCGTGGTCCCATCCCAACATGGATAAGAACTGGCTCACCACATCGTCCGCATCCTTTGAACCCTCGCAAGGAGTGAAGATGGGATAATCGTCAAAGTACACCGCCGAAGGAACTTTCAGACACCGGTTGATTAAAAACCAAAGGCACCTACTCACCCGTATGAAACCGTACACGGCTGCAGTGGCGCCAAACATCAGGGAGTTAGGAAGAAAGAACATCTCCTTCCCGTCTGGCCCCCGGAAGTACGTGACGCAAAGGTCGCGATGGGAGGGGTGCAGTGCCATCTGCTTGTAAGCCTTAGTTAGATCCAAACACTTACCAACCCAATCCCCCGAACCAAAACGCTGACGCCCTTCTTTAACCTGCTTGGCGATGAAGAGGGCAACACTTGCAATGTAGTCAGCAGTGTGAAGCTCGAGGCGAATGGTGGTGCTGTAAGCTGCATTGGTCTGAGACTGGCATGCGTCATCGATGGGACGCTGCTTCGAACCTTGGTCAAGAAGAAAACGTCTGATCACACACCAGTGCTCGTGGCCTAACAAATTTGAAATCTCCGTGGCTGAGTACGGCCCATCTAAGAAACCTAGGTCAACCTCTTCTTGAGTAACCTTTAGAAGGCACGAAGCCCTCTCCTTGTCACCCAACGAATCGTCGCCTACGATGGCCTCGCGACGGGCCTGGGCTGTGTCTCTGAGGTCTTGTTCGGTCAAGGAGGCGGATTTGACCTTCCTATCGAAGCACTCTGGATGGGATTCGGAGCCCAACACCTTTACCCCTTCGCTCAAGAAGTTCACGGCTTCCAGGTCGTCATAGCCCTCCTGCGAAAGCAAAGTTTTGAGGGCCACAATCTTCTTGCCTTTCATCACCTTTGCCACCGATGGGCTCATCCTGGCATGGAGCTCGGCTTCTTCTTTTTCAGTCTTCTTTATAAGAAGTTGCAACTTAAGGAGGGCCAATTTACGATGCAAAGCGACCTGTTCGGGGCGAGACGTCATCAAGAAGTCAATGGCTTCAACCGTGACCGTGGCCACAGACTGCAGACGTTCAGAAGGGTGTTCCAATTTTTTCGCCTTTTCCACGAAGGCAGCCGGGTCATGATATATGCCCACTTTGACAACTTTTGCAGGAGGAGGGTCCCTAGTAGAACCGGACCCCGAGGCCCAGGAACTAGGGTACCCCAAGGCGGGTTCGGGCTCCTCGTTTGTAAAACCTTCTACATCGCCTTCTGAGTCTCCCGCATTCTCCCCCTTAAAGGAGACTTCTTGCAAGACCTTCATAGCCTTGGTAGTGAAACTGTGGAATGAGAGGTGCATGCTTGCGGGACTGGCGAGCTACGGCAGATGCAGAAGCGAGGGTCAACGGGCAACGAGCCGACCAAGATAATCCTTTGGCACGGAGATAGCGCACAAGGCAACGAGCCATACGCGCAGCCAACAAGTTGGGGTAGGAACTCTCGCGGAGCGCCGCCGTTCTGGTGAAAGGCATCCAGGGCTCGTGCGCATGTGAGTTATCGCACGACAACTGCAAGGATTCATAGACACCGGGTGAAGCAAGCAACCGGAGCTCTCCTTAGGGAGAGAGCCTCCATGCATGCATACATGAAACTGGACAGCCTGCAACCTGTTGTAAGAACGGCTAGCCTTGGGGCAAGCACGCTTTCGAAGAAATTGCACAAGGGCTGCCCAGGTCCACGACCGAGAAGGATTTTCGAGGGACACAACGATGTCCTCAGCAAGACAACGCAGAGCGACGTCCAAAGTGAACTCATAAAGTTTGTTGGCCTGTTGGAGCCGCAAGCCTTCAGGGGAGGTCTCAGAGATGCCCGGCAATCCTAAAGGATGTAACGCATCGCGCAATGGCTGGGGCGCAACGGCTCCTTGGTGAGTCAATTTGGAAGGGAGGCTTCGCTCCCGAGCACGAGATGCAGTATCACAAGGCAGCCCGAAGTGAACGGCCACAGGCTTAACTTTGTAGAGAAGATCCCAAAAGATCCGAATCCCCGTAGCTTGCGAAAGGTCAAGCGGCACAATGGGAACTTGAACGTTTCGGACCTTCCAGTCAAAGCTGAGCACCTGGAAGCCAGCACGATACCAGGCTTTGGATAACGAGGCAGAGCCCGCGAAGACTTCGAAAACCCAGGGCTTAAGATCAGGAACCGAACGAGGAACCGGGGAGGTCCCAGGAAGATGAAAACCCAAGTCCCTAAGAAAAACCACATCTTCCTTAGAGAGACCCTTCATGGGCACGCTGTAGGCGACCATGACCTGTCGGGATCCGGTCCATGGTTGGGTCCAATGTTTATGGGACTGAGCATCGAACAGAATGACATGCTCAACAAAGGGTACGACTCGGCCATGCACAATTTTCCCTCG